CCCAAAAGACTTTGGATTTCTTTAACCGTCTTGGGTGGCCGACTGTCAAGAATGGCTTTAGCCTTATTGGCATCAATTTCAATTCCTCTCTCATGAACTAAAAATCCTAAAAAGCTCCCGGCTGATATTCCAAAAGCACACTTGGTTGGATTCATCTTCAACTTGTACTTCTTCATTCTTTCGAATGCCTCTTCAAGATTTCTCAGATGTTCGTCAAAACTGGCAGATTTAACAATAACATCATCAATATAAACTTCCATAGATCTGCCAATTAAATCATGAAAGATTGAATTCATGGCTCTTTGGTAAGTTGCCCCTGCATTCTTTAACCCGAATGGCATGACTGTCCATTCATAAATACCTAAAGCCCCTGGGCATCTGAATGCTGTCTTAGGAATGTCTTCTTCTGCCAGAAATATTTGGTTATAACCTGCATAACCATCCATCAGACTAAGGATTTTATGCCCTGCTGCTGCATCTATCAACATGTCGGCCATAGGCATCACATATTCATCTTTAGGGGTAGCTAGATTCAAATCCCTGAAATCGATGCATATCCTAATCTTACCATTTTTCTTGACCACTGGCACAATATTAGCCAGCCACTCCGCATAACGGCAAGGCTGAATAAAGCCCACTTTGAGAAGTTTTTGGATTTCTTCCTTGATTTGAGGCATTAGATCCGGGCTCATTCGCCTTGGAGGTTGTTTGTAAGGTTTACAACCTTCTTTGATAGGCAATCGATGCTCTATTAGACTTCTTGTCAAACCAGGCATCTCTGAATAATCCCATGCTAAACAATCAATGTTGTTTCTAATAACTTCGAGCATCATTGTTTGTTGCTCTTTAGACAAATAACCACTTAACCTGATCACTTTTGGAACCAATTCGGTTCCTAAATTAAACTCCAATAATGGGTCTTGTGATGAAGCTGTTGGTTCTGTTTTTTCTAATAAATCAGGCCAACGAAATTGTTCATCTTCTTGGAGGTGAACATCAAGAATCTCTTTACTATTTTCTGCTTTATGTAATAATTGCTTTAAATAGAACTTATTAATAAGAGAACTACATACTTCTAAACTTGTATCTTCCATAACAAACAAATTATATGGGAATGGGTGTGGCTTTATCATGAGCCATACAATAAAGGTGTTCTTTTAATAGAACATCGAGTTCTGGCCAGTGACTTTATAACCCTTGTTTGGGTATTCCCTGGCCATATACAATTGAGACATCGGAGCCAAAGGACTGGAATAAAACACTGACTCTTCAACTTGTTCTGATACATCGAATGGGTTGTCATTTGCTTCCATTTTGAAGACCTGATTTCCTTCCCAGAACATTAATTGTTGGTGCAGGGTTGATGGCACACATTGAGAGGCATGAATCCAGTCTCTTCCCAGCAAGAGAGAGTATGTAGTATCTGCGTCCACAATAAAGAAAACAGTGGAGATCTTCTTTGGTCCGACCTCGATTGTGGCAACCATCATGCCTTCAGGCTTAGTCGGCTGCCCTGTAAAACTTGTCATTTCGAATTCCACAGGAGACAGATCATGAATTCCTTTCCCTAGCTTCTTGAGAGTCTTCAATGGCATAACATTAAAGACTGCCCCATTATCCATAAAAACCTTTGTGATTGGTTTCCCGCAAATGTGAGCATTAACATACAGAGGTTTCAAATGGGAGATCGCACCCTCTGGAATAGGAGGAAACACAATCGAAGGTGCCTCCGACTGAGGCTCAGAATCTGAAGTCTTTGCCCACTCTGTTTCCTCTACTTCGTCATCTGCCAAGAATGCCCATAAAGGTTCGTCCATAGTATCATCTACCAGACTCGCCCACATCGGTTCATCTCTCATCTGATTAATCTCTGTCATTCGACAAGGGATTCGTGGTCCCAGACGAGATTTAACAGATCTTGAACCTTCCTCCGTAGTTACAACTTCTTCCTTTGTCTTATCCCGAGATTGAACCGCTAAAGATTCTATGCGGAATTCCTCAGGAGATGGATTGATATTGATCCGTTCACAATGTTGGCATCGAAAACCTCTAATTATTTCATCTGCCATTCCTTTACCTTTCCCCTGTCCCGACGAACTCCTTTTGGTATAGTCGGAAGCGCCTAATCCGTCATTCGGTTGCTTTCCTGAACAGATCCGACTAGACCGACTTGTTGGAGATTGCATGGCTGCTCCCTGCTCGTTGGTCGTTTGTTTTGGAAAGGCTCTAATGGACTGTTCTCCTGCCAAGTGGTCGGCTGCTTTTTGTTCGTCAGTTCGTTGTTTTGCTGAAGGAACTCGTTTCCCATACTTTGCAGCATACCTGCGTTTGGCATTGCGAATCTGTGTATGATTCATACCTGGGAACCGAGGATCTATATCAACTGGTAAAGGCTTTTTATTTCGAGCCCAATTGCTCCCGACCGACCCTGTTTTTCTGGTCGGGTGATCACGTACCAAAACCTTTTCTTTCACCTCCACATTAAAAGAACCGTCTGGATGGTCCCATTATTCAGCGACTGGCTTCTCACAAACTTTGAGTCGTTCTTCCGGTCGGCTGCTGTTTGGCTGATTTCCTTTCTTTGTTCCGGGGCTTGCCTGAGTTCGTTCCCCTGTTTGTCCACTATTGGCCGAACTTTTCCCTGTTTCCGAACTTGGTTGGATATCAACCATTGCCGTTGTTACTTTCGGAAACGGTTGCTGGTCTACACCTAAAGTGATGTATTTGAGCCGACCTGTCTTGATGGCCTTTTGAATTTCCTTCCTGAAATGAGTACACTGACTTGTATTGTGTGTGAAAGAATTATGCCACTTACAATATGGTCTCCCTTTGATTTCTTCTTTAGTGGCCAATCTTTGCCCCTTTGGAATACGGATCTGCCCATCAATCAGTAGGATATCAAAGATTTCATCAGCTTTTGAACTATCAAACGTCGGTTGCTCCTTTCCTTCAGATCCTGGTACTGGCTTCAATTTAGGGCATACATAAGGTTTTCCAGAAAGGATTTCGGCTGCCATCTCTTCTGATTGATTAAAATCAAAGTCACATGTTTCTGTTCCCATACTCGCCATATGTTGGCCTCTATTACGCCTGTTATGCTGATCTTCCTCTCTGAACAAAGACTCTAAACGTCCTGCCTTGGATGCAAGACTTGCCAAATCCTCAACGTCCAGGGCAGTGAGTGCCTTTCTTAAGCGAGTATGCATATTCCGGACCACTAAATTGGTCATCTCTTTCTCACTGATTACCGTAGGACATCGTCCCTTCATCAATCGCACCCTTTCTATAAACTGTGAAGCAGATTCTTCTGGATACTGTCTCAATTCTAGTAAATCAGTTAAAGAAACAACTGGTAAAGGATTGAAGAATCTAGCGTGAAATGCCATCTCCAGTCCTTCCCATGTCTGAATTTGTCCAGGAGGTAGACTTACAAACCACGAAAACGCCGTTCTAGTAAGAGATAAACCAAACAGCTGTAACTTATAAAAAGGGTTATTGCCAACTTCTCCTAATTGTGCTGTGAACCGACCAACATGTTCTATGGTGGAAGATCCGTCCTCCCCTGAGAATGCATGAAAATCGGGTGGTCGAAAATTCCTTGGGAGAGGGTGTTCATTAATGATCCTTTCTGGGAAAGGTCTCTGATATGCAGGGCGGTTAGCCATCTGAGGAGTTAAGCCATACTGATCCCTTAATATATGTGCAATCTCATCAGGATCTACATGAAAGCGTTGATGATCAGGAACATGGAACGGATCCTGCACAGGAATATGAATAGGATCATGTATATATCCTTCAGGCCTGTCCTCCCTTGTATTGTTCGGCTGCGGATTGGTAACCCTTGGTCCTAGTGGAACATTGTTGGGAAAAGTCAAAGGAGATTTTCCCCTATCCATTCGGTTGGGATTTGTGGCACTTGGGAATGTACTATCCACGAATGATGGCCCTGCGAAATTTGCCTGTGGTCTGGACGGTGACACTCCTGGTGGCGTTTGAGTGGGTTGAAGACTAACCCTTGACAGTGCTTGATCTATCATGTTCTGCATCAGACTCTATTGCTCACGCAACATGTTCGTTTGTTGCTCACGCAACATATTCTGCATAACCAAAGTATGCTGGTTGTTCATTTGTTGAACATAAGACCACCAATCAGTTGGTGGTTGTGGGATTTCCCCGGCATTTGGCACAATAGGTGGTGGAACGGATTCTCCCACCGGTGCCGAAGATGATTGAGGTTGTGAACCTGCCATATGGACCCTTCCGATGATACGACCGGATCTTAGACGTATGAAATTATCGCCGGAATTGGAATGAGCAATTGTGTCTTGCTCCCACTGTGGTCGCCAATTTGTTGATGTAGTTTTTCAACAAAAATAAAGTAAAATTCAAAGATATAGAAAATATCCTTAAACTTGATTAATTAGTGCCTGAGATTAGGAATCTCTAAACACTGTATGGTACAGAAAATAAACTGGAAAATAAAAGACTGAAATTTAAAGTGGTGATCCCCAAATCTGACTTTGCTTTGTTGAAGTTGATTGAAGATGCCTTGCCAAATGATGATCCAAATCCTTAAATATTCTTTGAAGAAACTGTACTGAAAACCGTCGCCCGAACGGTTACAACGTCTCCTTCCCAACCGTCCTCCAACCCTTCTCCTGCTGACACGTGTCCTCAGCAGACCAAAATTATCCCTATATTTCACTCTTTGAGCCGACTACAGACCTTCCGCCCTTTTAGCCCGACTGCCAATCTACAATAGTATGGGTCCGACTGCCAATCCTCCCGACTTGCAAACCATCTGACTTGTTTGAATTAGCTACAGACATCCCGACTAACAAACCACCCGATTTGTTGGTTCTGCCGCAGAATTCCGACCTGAGAACTTCCCGACCTGAGGACCTCCCGACTTGCGGACTTCCCGTCCTGAAGGCCACCCGTCTTGAGGACCTACCGACCAGAGGTCCTTCCGTCCTGATGACCTTCCGTCTTGATGACCACCCGACCTGAAAACCTTCCGACTTGAGGTCTTTCCGTCTTGAGGACCTCCCGACCTGAAAACCTTCCGACTTGAGGTCTTTCCGTCTTGAGGACCTACCGACCTGAGGTCCTTCCGTCCTGATGACTTTCCGTCTTGAGGGCCTCCCGACCTGAAGACCTTCCGACTTGAGGTCTTTCCGTCTTGAGGACCTCCCGACCTGAAAACCTTCCGACTTGAGGTCTTTCCGTCTTGAGGACCTACCGACCTGAGGTCCTTCCGTCCTGATGACTTTCCGTCTTGAGGACCTCCCGACCTGAAGACCTTCCGACTTGAGGTCTTTCTGTCTTGAGGACCTACCGACCTGAGGTCCTTCCGTCCTGATGACTTTCCGTCTTGAGGACCTCCCGACCTGAAGACCTTCCGACCTGAGGTCTTTCCGTCTTGACGACCTACCGACCTGAAGACCTTCCGACCTGAAGTCTTTCCGTCCTGTATTTTCCTTGATTTCCACACGGTGTCCTTCAGCCGGTTCAACCAACTCTATCGCCAGGCCCATTCTCCTTTTTACCTTGGGCTTTTAACCTAATTCTAAATTTCGTACGTAACAATATTATATAGCATGTTTTAGATTATACTTACTTTGTGCTCGATAGTTCAAATTGCAGTGCTTTTCGTATTTCTTGTAGAGTGTTCGAAATTAGTATATTTAGCGCTTTTGTGTTTTCAATGTTTTTCCTTTATATTATATAGCATGTTATAGATTATACTTACTTTGTGCTCTATAGTTCTAATTACAACGTATTTGTTGTAGAGTGTTCGAAGTTAGTATATTTGCCGCTTTTGTTTTTTCAATGTTTTTCCTTTATATTATATAGAATGTTATAAATTATACTTACTTTGTGCTCGATAGTTCAAATTGCAGTGCTTTTCGTATTTGTTGTAGAGTGTTCGAAATTAGTATATTTAGCGCTTTTGTTTTTTCAATGTATTTCCTTTATATTATATAGCATGTTATAGATTATACTTAGTTTGTGCTCTATAGTTCTAATTACTGTGCTTTTCGTATTTGTTGTCGAGTGTTCGAAATTAGTATATTTAGCGCATTTGTTTTGTCAATGTTTTTCATTTATGCTATACAGCATGTTATAGATTATACTTACTATGCGCTCTATTGTCTAATTGCCCTGCTTTTCGTATTTGTTGTAGAGCGTTCGAAATTAGTATATTTAGCGCTTTTGTTTTTTTCAATGTTTTTCCTTTGTATTCTTGTTGATGTAGTTTTTCAACAAAAATAAAGTAAAATTCAAAGATATAGAAAATATCCTTAAACTTGATTAATTAGTGCCTGAGATTAGGAATCTCTAAACACTGTATGGTACAGAAAATAAACTGGAAAATAAAAGACTGAAATTTAAAGTGGTGATCCCCAAATCTGACTTTGCTTTGTTGAAGTTGATTGAAGATGCCTTGCCAAATGATGATCCAAATCCTTAAATATTCTTTGAAGAAACTGTACTGAAAACCGTCGCCCGAACGGTTACAACGTCTCCTTCCCAACCGTCCTCCAACCCTTCTCCTGCTGACACGTGTCCTCAGCAGACCAAAATTATCCCTATATTTCACTCTTTGAGCCGACTACAGACCTTCCGCCCTTTTAGCCCGACTGCCAATCTACAATAGTATGGGTCCGACTGCCAATCCTCCCGACTTGCAAACCATCTGACTTGTTTGAATTAGCTACAGACATCCCGACTAACAAACCACCCGATTTGTTGGTTCTGCCGCAGAATTCCGACCTGAGAACTTCCCGACCTGAGGACCTCCCGACTTGCAGACTTCCCGTCCTGAAGGCCACCCGTCTTGAGGACCTACCGACCAGAGGTCCTTCCGTCCTGATGACCTTCCGTCTTGATGACCACCCGACCTGAAAACCTTCCGACTTGAGGTCTTTCCGTCTTGAGGACCTCCCGACCTGAAAACCTTCCGACTTGAGGTCTTTCCGTCTTGAGGACCTCCCGACCTGAAGACCTTCCGACTTGAGGTCTTTCCGTCTTGAGGACCTACCGACCTGAGGTCCTTCCGTCCTGATGACTTTCCGTCTTGAGGACCTCCCGACCTGAAGACCTTCCGACCTGAGGTCTTTCCGTCTTGAGGACCTACCGACCTGAAGACCTTCCGACCTGAAGTCTTTCCGTCCTGTATTTTCCTTGATTTCCACACGGTGTCCTTCAGCCGGTTCAACCAACTCTATCGCCAGGCCCATTCTCCTTTTTACCTTGGGCTTTTAACCTAATTCTAAATTTCGTACGTAAAAATATTATATAGCATGTTTTAGATTATACTTACTTTGTTCTTGATAGTTCAAATTGCAGTGCTTTTCGTATTTCTTGTAGAGTGTTCGAAATTAGTATATTTAGCGCTTTTGTGTTTTCAATGTTTTTCCTTTATATTATATAGCATGTTATAGATTATACTTACTTTGTGCTCTATAGTTCTAATTACAACGTATTTGTTGTAGAGTGTTCGAAGTTAGTATATTTGCCGCTTTTGTTTTTTCAATGTTTTTCCTTTATATTATATAGAATGTTATAAATTATACTTACTTTGTGCTCGATAGTTCAAATTGCAGTGCTTTTCGTATTTGTTGTAGAGTGTTCGAAATTAGTATATTTAGCGCTTTTGTTTTTTCAATGTTTTTCCTTTATATTATATAGCATGTTATAGATTATACTTAGTTTGTGCTCTATAGTTCTAATTACTGTGCTTTTCGTATTTGTTGTCGAGTGTTCGAAATTAGTATATTTAGCGCATTTGTTTTGTAAATGTTTTTCATTTATGCTATACAGCATGTTATAGATTATACTTACTATGCGCTCTATTGTCTAATTGCCCTGCTTTTCGTATTTGTTGTAGAGCGTTCGAAATTAGTATATTTAGCGCTTTTGTTTTTTTCAATGTTTTTCCTTTGTATTCTTGTTGATGTAGTTTTTCAACAAAAATAAAGTAAAATTCAAAAATATAGAAAATATCCTTAAACTTGATTAATTAGTGCCTGAGATTAGAAATCTCTAAACACTGTATGGTACAGAAAATAAACTGGAAAATAAAAGACTGAAATTTAAAGTGGTGATCCCCAAATCTGACTTTGCTTTGTTGAAGTTGATTGAAGATGCCTTGCCAAATGATGATCCAAATCCTTAAATATTCTTTGAAGAAACTGTACTGAAAACCGTCGCCCGAACGGTTACAACGTCTCCTTCCCAACCGTCTTCCAACCCTTCTCCTGCTGACACGTGTCCTCAGCAGACCAAAATTATCCCTATATTTCACTCTTTGAGCCGACTACAGACCTTCCGCCCTTTTAGCCCGACTGCCAATCTACAATAGTATGGGTCCGACTGCCAATCCTCCCGACTTGCAAACCATCTGACTTGTTTGAATTAGCTACAGACATCCCGACTAACAAACCACCCGATTTGTTGGTTCTGCCGCAGAATTCCGACCTGAGAACTTCCCGACCTGAGGACCTCCCGACTTGCGGACTTCCCGTCCTGAAGGCCACCCGTCTTGAGGACCTACCGACCAGAGGTCCTTCCGTCCTGATGACCTTCCGTCTTGATGACCACCCGACCTGAAAACCTTCCGACTTGAGGTCTTTCCGTCTTGAGGACCTCCCGACCTGAAAACCTTCCGACTTGAGGTCTTTCCGTCTTGAGGACCTCCCGACCTGAAGACCTTCCGACTTGAGGTCTTTCCGTCTTGAGGACCTACCGACCTGAGGTCCTTCCGTCCTGATGACTTTCCGTCTTGAGGACCTCCCGACCTGAAGACCTTCCGACCTGAGGTCTTTCCGTCTTGAGGACCTACCGACCTGAAGACCTTCCGACCTGAAGTCTTTCCGTCCTGTATTTTCCTTGATTTCCACACGGTGTCCTTCAGCCGGTTCAACCAACTCTATCGCCAGGCCCATTCTCCTTTTTACCTTGGGCTTTTAACCTAATTCTAAATTTCGTACGTAAAAATATTATATAGCATGTTTTAGATTATACTTACTTTGTTCTTGATAGTTCAAATTGCAGTGCTTTTCGTATTTCTTGTAGAGTGTTCGAAATTAGTATATTTAGCGCTTTTGTGTTTTCAATGTTTTTCCTTTATATTATATAGCATGTTATAGATTATACTTACTTTGTGCTCTATAGTTCTAATTACAACGTATTTGTTGTAGAGTGTTCGAAGTTAGTATATTTGCCGCTTTTGTTTTTTCAATGTTTTTCCTTTATATTATATAGAATGTTATAAATTATACTTACTTTGTGCTCGATAGTTCAAATTGCAGTGCTTTTCGTATTTGTTGTAGAGTGTTCGAAATTAGTATATTTAGCGCTTTTGTTTTTTCAATGTTTTTCCTTTATATTATATAGCATGTTATAGATTATACTTAGTTTGTGCTCTATAGTTCTAATTACTGTGCTTTTCGTATTTGTTGTCGAGTGTTCGAAATTAGTATATTTAGCGCATTTGTTTTGTAAATGTTTTTCATTTATGCTATACAGCATGTTATAGATTATACTTACTATGCGCTCTATTGTCTAATTGCCCTGCTTTTCGTATTTGTTGTAGAGCGTTCGAAATTAGTATATTTAGCGCTTTTGTTTTTTTCAATGTTTTTCCTTTGTATTCTTGTTGATGTAGTTTTTCAACAAAAATAAAGTAAAATTCAAAAATATAGAAAATATCCTTAAACTTGATTAATTAGTGCCTGAGATTAGGAATCTCTAAACACTGTATGGTACAGAAAATAAACTGGAAAATAAAAGACTGAAATTTAAAGTGGTGATCCCCAAATCTGACTTTGCTTTGTTGAAGTTGATTGAAGATGCCTTGCCAAATGATGATCCAAATCCTTAAATATTCTTTGAAGAAACTGTACTGAAAACCGTCGCCCGAACGGTTACAACGTCTCCTTCCCAACCGTCTTCCAACCCTTCTCCTGCTGACACGTGTCCTCAGCAGACCAAAATTATCCCTATATTTCACTCTTTGAGCCGACTACAGACCTTCCGCCCTTTTAGCCCGACTGCCAATCTACAATAGTATGGGTCCGACTGCCAATCCTCCCGACTTGCAAACCATCTGACTTGTTTGAATTAGCTACAGACATCCCGACTAACAAACCACCCGATTTGTTGGTTCTGCCGCAGAATTCCGACCTGAGAACTTCCCGACCTGAGGACCTCCCGACTTGCGGACTTCCCGTCCTGAAGGCCACCCGTCTTGAGGACCTACCGACCAGAGGTCCTTCCGTCCTGATGACCTTCCGTCTTGATGACCACCCGACCTGAAAACCTTCCGACTTGAGGTCTTTCCGTCTTGAGGACCTCCCGACCTGAAAACCTTCCGACTTGAGGTCTTTCCGTCTTGAGGACCTCCCGACCTGAAGACCTTCCGACTTGAGGTCTTTCCGTCTTGAGGACCTACCGACCTGAGGTCCTTCCGTCCTGATGACTTTCCGTCTTGAGGACCTCCCGACCTGAAGACCTTCCGACCTGAGGTCTTTCCGTCTTGACGACCTACCGACCTGAAGACCTTCCGACCTGAAGTCTTTCCGTCCTGTATTTTCCTTGATTTCCACACGGTGTCCTTCAGCCGGTTCAACCAACTCTATCGCCAGGCCCATTCTCCTTTTTACCTTGGGCTTTTAACCTAATTCTAAATTTCGTACGTAAAAATATTATATAGCATGTTTTAGATTATACTTACTTTGTTCTTGATAGTTCAAATTGCAGTGCTTTTCGTATTTCTTGTAGAGTGTTCGAAATTAGTATATTTAGCGCTTTTGTGTTTTCAATGTTTTTCCTTTATATTATATAGCATGTTATAGATTATACTTACTTTGTGCTCTATAGTTCTAATTACAACGTATTTTTTGTAGAGTGTTCGAAGTTAGTATATTTGCCGCTTTTGTTTTTTCAATGTTTTTCCTTTATATTATATAGAATGTTATAAATTATACTTACTTTGTGCTCGATAGTTCAAATTGCAGTGCTTTTCGTATTTGTTGTAGAGTGTTCGAAATTAGTATATTTAGCGCTTTTGTTTTTTCAATGTTTTTCCTTTATATTATATAGCATGTTATAGATTATACTTAGTTTGTGCTCTATAGTTCTAATTACTGTGCTTTTCGTATTTGTTGTCGAGTGTTCGAAATTAGTATATTTAGCGCATTTGTTTTGTAAATGTTTTTCATTTATGCTATACAGCATGTTATAGATTATACTTACTATGCGCTCTATTGTCTAATTGCCCTGCTTTTCGTATTTGTTGTAGAGCGTTCGAAATTAGTATATTTAGCGCTTTTGTTTTTTTCAATGTTTTTCCTTTGTATTCTTGTTGATGTAGTTTTTCAACAAAAATAAAGTAAAATTCAAAAATATAGAAAATATCCTTAAACTTGATTAATTAGTGCCTGAGATTAGGAATCTCTAAACACTGTATGGTACAGAAAATAAACTGGAAAATAAAAGACTGAAATTTAAAGTGGTGATCCCCAAATCTGACTTTGCTTTGTTGAAGTTGATTGAAGATGCCTTGCCAAATGATGATCCAAATCCTTAAATATTCTTTGAAGAAACTGTACTGAAAACCGTCGCCCGAACGGTTACAACGTCTCCTTCCCAACCGTCTTCCAACCCTTCTCCTGCTGACACGTGTCCTCAGCAGACCAAAATTATCCCTATATTTCACTCTTTGAGCCGACTACAGACCTTCCGCCCTTTTAGCCCGACTGCCAATCTACAATAGTATGGGTCCGACTGCCAATCCTCCCGACTTGCAAACCATCTGACTTGTTTGAATTAGCTACAGACATCCCGACTAACAAACCACCCGATTTGTTGGTTCTGCCGCAGAATTCCGACCTGAGAACTTCCCGACCTGAGGACCTCCCGACTTGCGGACTTCCCGTCCTGAAGGCCACCCGTCTTGAGGACCTACCGACCAGAGGTTCTTCCGTCCTGATGACCTTCCGTCTTGATGACCACCCGACCTGAAAACCTTCCGACTTGAGGTCTTTCCGTCTTGAGGACCTCCCGACCTGAAAACCTTCCGACTTGAGGTCTTTCCGTCTTGAGGACCTCCCGACCTGAAGACCTTCCGACTTGAGGTCTTTCCGTCTTGAGGACCTACCGACCTGAAGACCTTCCGACCTGAAGTCTTTCCGTCCTGTATTTTCCTTGATTTCCACACGGTGTCCTTCAGCCGGTTCAACCAACTCTATCGCCAGGCCCATTCTCCTTTTTACCTTGGGCTTTTAACCTAATTCTAAATTTCGTACGTAACAACTTGCCCGCCGCCAAGGGACTTTCAAACGCCATTTAACAATCAATGTTTGGAAGTTCATAGATCACTACCCTCTTGAAAAATTCCCTTAGCAACTGCACCAGTGACTGCGATACTCCTGATTAACTTCCTTCTCCGCAATACAAGCCTTTGTGAATCACAATCCCAAAACACTCTAACTATGGCGAATCAATACATTCCTGCCCTTCCTTTCGACGGAACCCTCCCAGAGGGTCCATTTTCAGCCTCGAAAGTACTAACTCCGACGATCCGCCCATATTGCACTACCCCTGAAGATTCAAATCGGATGAGGGAAGTTTTGGAATCTCGAAATTCCCTGGCTATCAACAACCCTAACTACCAAGCAATTCGCATTCGAGACAGCATCAAAACCCATCTCACAGACCCAAAAGATCCTTACCGCGCTTGGTATCGACGGGTAGCAGAACACTTCCAAACCCAATGGCGGTCTCAAAAAATCGACCAGGCAATACTATTGTCCACCATGCCTATCAACCTGCATGAGAAGGTGCTGTTGGCCATGTTTGCCTTCTGGAATGCGGAAAATGGGACTTTCCTCTTACCATCGGGCCCCTTTGGTCCAACTCTTATGGACGTGGCAATGATCGCGCATCTCCCAGTCGTGGGTGAAGACCCTGTAATGGGAGCCCTAGATGGGCAGGAGCCATCAGAAGACCATCCAGGATGGTCTTTACAAGGTGTGAAGGAATGGGGTTGGACAAAGTTCGCAACCGACCAGCAAGGGGCTCCAGGGACCCCTGTGACCGACCGGGAGCATACTGCCTTTATTCTTTTTTGGCTTTGTAGGTACGTCATTGTTTCCCCTTCCAAATGTGTTCTTCCTTCTCATCTCGACCTGGCCATTCATATCGCGTCAGGTCGGTTCTTCTCCCTTGGCACCCTGTTTTTAGCCAATCTGTTTGAAGGACTCACCAGGGTTAGCCTTCGTTTAACAGATAACGATAATAGGAAATTAGACACTGCCGCGTCGGGTCCTTTTTGGTTTTTAGAACTTTGGTTCCGTCTTTACTTCCCCAACGCGTTTAACTTAGGATCTCCGCCCACTATGCCAACATCTGAAAAACATTTGGGATTAGCCCTCAACCGACTCTGCTCAGGACGCAATAAACTCCAATCTTCCGATCCAATAATAACCGCAATTTTAACAGATACCCGCAGTAACTCTCGATTTTCTATGTATAAAAAGTATGCGGGTTATGCTCCCGACCATTTTTGGCCCTTTCCAGCACCAAATCCGCTTCCGACTCCTGAGCCTTGTCCTCATCCCACCTATCCTTTTGCCTGGGACGTTGCCCTCAAACCCAGGTCTCTTTTTAGCAGCAAAAAACTTGATAAAAAAGGGCAGAAAACCTTTTATACTTTTAATTATGAACCTCAATTCATGGCGCGCCAGTTCGGCTGTTGCCAAGGTATCCCTGGACCCGTCGCTTGTCCGCATATAATTTTTCAAAGTCCTGACCGACGGGTCCTACCTAATTCAATCCCTTCGTATATCTCCCAGCTCACCACGTATATAATTTCCAATTCTTATATTCCTTTCCGCTCCAACCCTGAGACTGTAGATACATTCAATGAATGGTGGTCGGTTGTATGGCCCCTGATTTCCCCTGATGAGGATCGGTTGCTGAACATACTCCTTCCCCCCCAAGGATTGGTTCTAGGGGCGGCTAGACATACTAGCACTCAACAACAAACAGCCGCCCCGGGAATCGGATCTAGTGTTCCCATGCGAAAAAGGAAGGCTTCCCAGCTGCAAACACCCCCGACCTCTGGGGCCGACCAGCAAGCACCAGCAGACCTTGGAACAACTAGGACGTCAGCAAGGACCCGACCCCGAATTGGTAATTTTTCTTAACACCGTGAACCAATTCACTATATCGTAACTTTGATTTTACTCATTTCATTCACCAGAACCGACCTTGGTGACACCGACCACACAACCGACGCCACTCCCAGCCGACCATTCAACCGGACCTTTGGTCCAGACCAATTTGCCAATGAGCAGTCGGGCGGAGGACCCGACGAGGAGGCAAACTCTTCCTCCCGTACCGAGGAGTGGTCGGGCCAGGCACCCGACCAGGAGGCAATCTGTACCAGCAGTGCCTATAGAACCAGTAAGTTCTCTCATCAGCAATACTTGGCATTCTAATGACCAACCTTGATATATTTAACAACAACTTTTCCATGATTTTTCACAGACACCTTCACCCATCGCATCAGCAGCAGGGGTCTCTTCTGACAGCGAGGGAACTACTTCCCAGATGGGTCGACCGCCATACATGGCATCAGACTCATCCATTTCAAAGGAAGGACCAACTGCCCATGCCGAAGCTGACCCTCAAGATGACATCCTTGATGCTGCTGATCTTGAAATCGTCCAATTGGGTGCAGCCGTGCCGGAAACCGAAAATGCCCCAGCTGCGGCTATCTCAGGTGCTCCAGAGATCCCGGCTGCAGCGGCTCTAGATGCAGCCGCCCAACCTGCAGCCGCCCAGCCAGCAGCGGCACTCCCTCTAGCAATCGAGTGGCAGGCAGAAGAACCACCTGTGGCAGCCCAACCTCCAGAAATGGAAGAAGTGTCTTCATCCGATTCGGAGACTTCTGTGAATTTGGTAAGATTAAACCAATTCATACCACAATGTTTCTTTCGGAAAACACTAACTGTTTTATATACCACTTTCCATAGGGACCCAGGTCGGCACCTCAGCGACCATTCGCAGCAGCCGACGAGTCGGCTGCTGTTATACCAGCTGTCTGCCCTACTCGACCGACCTCATTGCTGCCCCCCTCACTGACAGCAGTCCGCCCAGAGGTGACACATATCTTATCTGAATAAATTTGCACCTCTCTTGGAATACTTATTGACATTGTAGGACCTGCAGGGGCCTTCGGACTTAGCTGTCCTATCGACTGTTCCGGTTCCAGCGGAGGCCCAAACTATATTCACTGAGGCCATTAACCGTCCCCTGTCAGAATTAAGATCCGACTTATTGGACAGACTCATTCAGACGGTTGGTGGCCTTCTTTTTTACACTCCGACGGAATCGCCAGCCGTCCCCATTCTGCATCGGCTGATGGAAAGACTTACGGAGCTCAAGACTGAAGTACTAGTCATTGGACTCCTGTCAGCCGAAACCCCCAGCCTGTCTTTGATCAAACAGCACTGGAGAATTCTTTGGCTAAAACCCGAGAATCCCTTCAGCAGACTACTGGAAGGCTGGGCGGTCTCCTCAGCACGAAGGCTCAAGTCGATGATGCCATTCAGAAAAAGGAGGCAGAATTGCGGGAGCTAAGGAAAGAACAGCCTACCCTGGATAAGCAAATTACCAATGAGCAGCGTCTGCTTGAGAGGTATACCAAGAATGAGGCTGAATTGGATCAAGAGCTGAAAACCCAAGCCCGATCCCAATTCATCATAAGATATCAGACGGCTGCCAATACCAGAAGGCTATCCAGGGATGAAATCAAGTGGACACATATAAAAACTGCCCTAGGGGCACTTTTGTAATACTTCCCCCTTTGTAACACCAATTGACTTAGTAATCCATTTTTTCTTTCTTCTCTCAAAACAAGGATCACCTTTCAATTTCCAATTTTGTAGGAATCGCAACAAACTCCTTCTTTAAAAGAACATTGTTTCTCACATTTTAAGAAACACATTCCAAGGCATATTTTGAAAATCAAAACACTTGAAGTGTTAACAAACATGGCGAATGACCGACCTCATGTTCCATCAAGCAACTGGGAAGGTGTCCTTCAACCCTTCTTTGTGGGTAATCACCCTATTGGAGGCCATGCAGAAGACTTGTTACATATACTCAAGCAACTAGACTTCAAATTCCGATTCTCCCAACGAGGAAGAAGAACCATTCATCGCGTCATCCGCCTGATGGGAAAAATCATCGAGGGATATGAACCTCTTCGTGACATCCTTAGCCGCATTCCTGATCTTCATCATCACATGGAAATGATTGAAAATCACGCAGCAACCATACTTCCAGTCCTTGGTTGGGATAATATATTTTCCAATCAACGAAAAGTCTTTTCAAGGTTGCGTACCATTGTTGACCGTGAACATCAAGCCATAACAGACATGCAAGCACGTACCCATCAAGATTTAGACGAAATGCAAAGCCAATGGGAGAGGTACCGACCAGATTTAGAAGATCTTATTGAAGAAGAACCATAGCTAATATCCACTCATTGGGATGAAAAGTCTGATTCAGAGGCAGAAAATTTCTCACAAATACATGATGACTAACAGAAATGAACCTTTAAATAGGTTCGAACCCCACAAATGGGTTCTGAGAATAATATTTTGTTTCAGGCAGTTTTGTTATCTGAAAAGGCAGGATAATACCTCTTCAGATATTTAGCATTAATACAATCATGTACTCTTCTCCCTTCATGATTTACAATAATGAAAGCGCCATTCCCAATATCTTTTTGAACAATGTATGGTCCTTCCCAATTCGGTGACCACTTTCCCAATTGGTCAGTCTTCTTATATGTAGGAAGGATGGTCTTCCAGACTAGGTCTCCTTTTTGGAATGTCCTGTGAAGAACTTTCTTTCCGTAACTCCTTGCTCTGATTTCACTCTGTTTCACACTTCGACTTATCGCATGAAGTCGGTTAACATCCAAATCCTCCAACTGTTGCAACATAAGTTGTTGGTACTCTTTTGTAAGATCACCATCAGTAAACTCTGTTCGGCCAGATGATACTCGGATTTCGGCTGGTAAAACAGCATCTTGGCCAAACGTGAGTTGGTAAGGCGAGAATCCTGTGGCCGTATTTCTGGTATTCCTATGTGCCCATAAAGCCTGAGACAATAGCAAATGCCACTTTCTTGGGTTCCCTTCAACCATCTTCTTTATAATCCCAATAATAATCTTATTTGCTGCTTCCGCTTGTCCATTGGCTTGGGGATAATAAGGTGAAGAATGATGTAATCGAACACCGAATTCTGCCAAGAAACTAGAGAACTTTTCCCCTGTGAAAACCAGGCCTT